TAATATGTAACCAAAATAAATATTACAACTATAATAAACTATATTCGGATGTGATCTTAGTACATAATTATATGTTATAATGTTAGTAATGATTATAATAAATTACAACGATCAATCAATTTTAATTATAACAGAAAACGTATATTTAAGTTTATGATTATCAATAAATAACTTTGAGAATTAATATCGTAATTAATTATTATGGATTTAAAATGAAACTTAATATATAATTTAGATGGGCCATAAAGACCCGATCCATTTTGAGCAAACTCTGGGCTTTTTCGGTCCATTTGGAGTGGGTGAAGAACGACGTGACACGTGGCGAAATCAAAATGGGAAACTGTTGAAGGTTGACCAGGGGGATTAGTCAACATCATTCCCAACTGAAACCGAGTCCCACTTATCCACGAGTGAGAGTAGTCTGTCAATGCCTTTTTCTGATTTTCAGTTTCAGTCATGGACAAAAGAGATATAAATTAAATTTTTTATATAATAATATTTTATTATTGGTTAAATGAATTAACAATTATATGTTAATTTTTTTTTAGAAAAGATTAAATAGGAAGAGGAGAATATGTAACCTCTTCAAAAAATATATATACATATATATATATGTATGAAAGAAAATAGATTTTTTAATTAGAAAAACAATTTTTGGACAACGGAATAAATTATTTTTAAAAATAAAAAATAGGGAGGGACGCGGGAATTGTACCTTTTGGTACGGGTGTGGCAATGGGGACGGTGCCGTATTGACAATCAATCAACTAAAAAAGGGACAGATAATTGGAAGACAGTGAAGCCTGAGCTGTTAGTTTTGTTGAACATGAGGACTATGAAGGAACATAAAGCTTGATCCAGCTGTTTTCAAAAAATAATAATAATAATAATAATACATAAATAAATATATAAACAAGTACTCGACTGCTCGACTTCAACACTAGAATAGTACCGATATATATATATATATATATATGTGTGTATATCGGCCCCCTATTATCTAACTTGAGTATGATATGGTAGGTGATATGTGAAATCATTTCCATGTATAAAATATTCATTTCTTTGAAAACGATCCATTTATATATATATATATGTATATATTTTTTGGTTTTTTATTGCTCTCATCTAATTTCACACGTGTCTCCTTGCAATATATACACACACACACACACATATATATATATATATAAAAATTAATTAATTAAGTAATTAATTATTCAGACCAAGTACTCTGTCTCGTATGTTAATTATTACTGAAAAGTTCATGAAATCTTGTTACATAAATTTTTTTAATTTTTATTTTATTTTTTAAAATGTTAGACTAATTTTGAGTCAATTTCAACGGATTCAATCTTTTTGTTTTTAATTTACTTAGAATATTTTCAGAAAAAAATTATGGTCAATTAGAGATAAAATTATATTCTCTTCAACTTTCATTCAATTTTTACTTTGAAATTTATATATAGTTTTTAGCATTGCATAATTACAGAGTAATTTTTTGTTAGTGCAGAGAAAACGAAGGGGGAAGTAGCGATTGTAACACCTAAAATTTTTCTTTTATTTTTATTTTTATTTTATTTTTATTTTTATTAGAATTTTATTTAATTTTATTCTATTTTAATAATTAATTTATAAGGTTTTAATTTAATTTAATTTAATTTAATAAAAATAATAATAATAATAAAGGGTAAAATTATGTTTGAGATTTAATTGAAATTAATTTTGAAAAAAATTGATGAAAATTTAGATTCTTGGAGTGTTTTTGAAAAGAAAATCAAAAACCAGTGATCAAAACGCAATTTAAAAAAATAGTGTCACGTCAGCAGCCCCGGCTAAGCAGGACACGCCGCGTGGCAGGGACGCTGACGCAGGACGGAGGCACGTGGGCAATCCACGTGTACACGATCGGACGGCATAGATTCGTTCCTGCGCGCACGGACGACCCAGATGAAAAGCATGCATGGACGGCCCAAATTTGATCACGCACGGATGACACAGATTTATTTTTAATTTAATCATGATCGGACGGCTCATATTAAATCATGATAGACGGCTTAGATTAAAAAGAGAAGGTTATAAATAATCACATCCACACCCAACTCCAAACCCTAGCCGCCAGACCCCTCGCTGGAGAAGACGACCCAGCCACCGGAGGACCGGTCGCTGCCACCCGCCGCCGCACTGGAGGATTTTCCAGCCGCC